TATATATATAATCAAGGGGGCAACCGATACGTCGCCAACAAATTTTCACATCCAGCATGTATCTCGATGCAATCTTTTGAATATGAAATATTCAAACTTCAATTAAAAGTTATATATAACTCTGATTTCAACAAACATATGGTCAAACTGACCGGCTTGATGAAACAGTCCTAATGATATAAAAACTAACCCAATCAAAATCAAATCAAGCTCAGATCATGTCCTTAAACCACTCCTGAAAGCTTTTTGGATACATTTGAAAGATCAAATGGATGTCGAAGCTAGCAAGCCTATAGTCGAATCAAGCCTCAATAAGACTAATTTAACGAGCCCAAGATTTCTCAATTTTGACATCTTTAAGGCATCCAAATATTCATTAAATGTTGTCTGATTAAAGGAAGCTCTCTGGAGCGTCTGATCAAAATGATTACTAGAACACTATAAATAGAGTCCTACCCTTCTCATAAGGGGGAGCTAAATCTTTGAGAGAGAATTAAGGCTAGGAGAAGGAGCTGAAATCCAGCACCACCGCAGATCGTTGTCCATTACTGCCGACCTATGTTGACCACCACCAACTACTGTTGATCGTCATCGACCACCGCTAACTTCCATCAACCACTGTCAATCATCTTCGACCACCGTCGAACGTTGTCGGCCACTGTCAACGAACGCCGAGCTTTGCCGACTGTCGTCAACCACCGACGACCGTCGTCGACCACCGCCAGCCATTGTCTAGCACTGTCGATCGTCATCAACCACCACCGACCTCTGTTGACCTCCGTCAACTGTCGTGAACCACCGCTAAACTGATTCATGCTATAAAATTTGCGGTGGAGGAGAAACAAATTGTAATCTTATCATTGTTCGAAGATTCAATACAAACTCAGATGAAAAAAAAAAGAAACAACCAATTGAGGCATCATAATTTTTTTACGTGAAAACCCCAGAAAGAGAAAAAGTCACAGAGCTTGACCCAATTCTAAAAATATACTATAAATTGATGATTACAAAATCCCCTTGTCTCACAGAGGGGAAAATGTTATCAAGTCCTCTGAATTGTAACATCGATGTGTGATGATCTCATCGCAAGGAACGGGTGGCAGCCGAAAGGTGTGATTGGCGATGGTCGACGGTGATCTGCAGTGGTTCACAACGACATAAGTGATGTTGAACTTCAGTTTTTTCTCAAAACTTCAAGCTCTTCCTCAAACCTCAAGTTTTATTACTTTTTCATGAAAGAGTTGGGGCTCTATTTATAAAATTTAAGTTACAATTAATGCAGAAATATGAACCACTTTGATCGGATGATCCGGAGAGATTTTTTTTTATTAAACTACGTTTGATGCATCTTCGAGTGCCTTAATGATTTCAAAATTGAATGATCTTGAGCTCGTTAAATTCGTCTTATCGAGACGCATGGTTCAACCATAAGCTTTCCGGATTCGACATCTATTTAACCTTCTAAATATTCTCATAAAGTTTCCATAAGTTGTTTGATGACTTGATTTGAGGTTGATTTTAGCAGAAACGTCGCTTCATTGCAATCTCTTTTGATCTTTGCATTGTGTTGTTATTAGACAATAATTCATTCATTCATAGTTTCATTGATTGTGTTGTTATTTATGCAATGTCCAAAGGCCTGTTAATCACATACAATGCAAAATCCATTTCATGACTACCATCCTTGAAGATTATTCTAAACCTGTGGCTAAAAAATTAAATTATTTATAAAATTTATTATTCATTATGTACACATAAATCATGTAAGCCTCTTTTCTATTGTTATACTTAAAAAAAATATTTACTCCATTTACCCCTCCTGCAACCAATTCCTCAACCCATTATTTTTTTTTATTTTATCATATTCACCTTACATTCTCATTTCCCCCACAATCAACTTCATCATCCGCCCATAATTTTACCATCCAATCTTAAGGAATGGTTTCATTGCCTCCTAGGAAAATAATATTGAACATGAGTGATTTTATATATA